TATTTAATTAAGGTTATCTTGGCATCTGTGTATTGACCAATAAAAAAACGGGTCCATTTAACGTCAGAATGGTGGATATCTACCACGACCAATAGGCTCCTCTTCCACCCATTGCCTAGTCCAAAATCCGTCCATGAGTCCGCTGATTTCCATAAAGGGTCCCAAAATATCCCTAAAAACGCCAGCAAGAGGCTTTTCCCCTACCAACCACGTTCCCGTCACGACTCATCTGCAGCATAAATCCAGTATTGTGCCGAATACTCCACCGTGAAAACGCCTGGGTTCTTCCCCTCACAAGTCTTCGGAGGACTCCCTCCTACAGTATTAACTCTGTAGACGTGCTTTAACCCGCCTTTGGTGCCATCGATCGTGTTCAGCTTCAACCAAGCCAGCGCGGGCTCACCATTAGGACCTTCTGGTGCGTCACTGGGGGCTGGACTCGCACTGTCTCTCTTGGTGACTGCATAGCCGTATTGCTTTTGAGGGGCAGTATCAAGATCGAAGACAGGTGTGGTGTTGTCGGTAAAGAAGTGGTAGCCGGAAAAGAGGATATTGGTGGGCTGGAAATTTGCCGTCGGGTCGGATGGCAGTGGGTAGTTGATAACTAAGTTGGTCATCATGGTTGTGAGCGAGGGATAGTTGCTTTCGGTGCAAGAGGCATTGTAAAGGGACGCAACGGCGCCAATTGGTGCAGGTACCGAAGACGAGTTTGCGCAGGTGTAGTTCTATGATGCGTCAGTGAAGGAAAAAATGAGACCCGTCGGAAGGGCTTACTTGTATGCCCCGGCCAATAGCGACGTGGCTCAAATATGTGTCGGGGTCTGGACCCGGGAGCGGAGTGGGTGCGACTGGCATCGACGCTTTACTCATATCGCATGCTGGCGGATTTGGGAAGTCGGGTGACTTCCTCGCTTCTTGTATTCTCTTGTCGACTTCCTGGTAGAACCGTGCAAGCGGCGCTGACCAGCTGTAGATGCCGCTTTCGGTGATCATCGGTGATGGTGCAGCCAGCGAATTGCTTGCCAGGAATGCCAGTAAGAAATATATTGAATGCATCTTATTATATGTGTGTTGATGTGACTTGGGGTGAGCTGCCACTCCACGCTCGGATTTCCTGGCCAGCAGAGCAGAGCAGAGCAATCACAACAGCAATGACGACAAGTATTCGAGAGGTGTAATAGAGCGAAAGACATCTTGCTGAAAGGCGCCGTACGCCTGCAGATATACACAATTATCTCCAAGCGACGAAATCAAGAATATCCCACTATATCCTGAGCCGCCTGGTCAAGCGACCAATCCACCTTCTGGCGCGGCTGACTTGCCCAGAGAGAGATCTATTCCTGGAAACTGAGCTTGTGATTGGAGAGATTGATGCGCCAGACCTTGGCCGAGAAAGGATTGGCAGCGGAAAAGGTTGAACGCGTCTGGGTAAATGTGCAGATCGCCTGCAGAAATAGCACTGGCTGCAAGGGATCTTTTCCAGTTCGGGCCAAGCGTCAGCGGCTGGCTAAGTCTGATATATTTATCTAGTACGCAAGTTACTAGTGGTACAGTATTCGAGTATCGAGTAGAGGCACCAAGCGCGACATGAGCAGCAACTCCCGTAGCACTACTATTTTCTTGTGTCCTCCTAGCTGACCTACAAGAGACGGCTCAGTTGAGTATGGGCTATAAATACTAGTAGCCCGGTCATAACTTTCTATTGAACTGCAGCATCAATGCTTAGTGAAGCAAGCATAAGGTCTTCGGTTGTCAGTAGCATCCGTGGGGAAGTTGAAACGCATTCTGTGGGCGATCTTCCGCAGATTAGAGCACAAGCGCTCTATGTCGACGTGGCATGCCGCGGTGTCCCTGGCCGAAACAATGATAGCCGGGACGGTTTGTTTTCGATCTTGGACGGAAGCTCGTCCTAGGGTCCGAACCCCACCGGATATCAGGTACAAGTGGATCTTCATCCCCATGGTTGTAGTACAAGCTCGAACGCTTCCCACAACGGAGCAAACGATAGATGTCTGCAAAGCTGGAATCCCTTAGTCGAAAGAAAACAAATACAAGACCCCGGTAAAAGCGGGGTTAACTTCAGTATACTCATTGGTTGCTCTACCCGCCACACGTAAAAACCTTAAACACGCCAGGGTTGCGCAATCTTCAACCACAGGATAAGCTTCGTCTGGCGGCTCTATCGCGGGCTCCTGCTTGCCAGTCGAGCCAAATTCCCGAAATAGATCTGCCACAGGACAAGAAAATGATCATCAACCACATACACAGCTGGGTAGCCGCGCACCGGCCCATGTCATATCGTACGGTGGCGAACAATGGCCTTGTAAAAGGTCAGACAATGTGCAGTAGACGCCAATGTACGGAATGCCATTTACATTGTAGACGCGATTTTTGTGGTACGGTCCATGAGCGTTTTTACATTCAAGTGGGCGTCATACCCAAAATCTCATACACCTGGGGCATCTTGCAACATCCATGGCCTTTTCAGCTTCCTTGAAAGTCATCCGGCTGCCACTCTTGAGGACTTGAGTCTTTCCCGAAACCCGCTCCTCCAGCTGCTGCAACCGCTGCCGCGCCATTGCCAAGACCAGCAGCGTGCTTATCGACCTGCACGCTGCCGCTCTGGTAGAGCATGAGGAACATGAGAATATGCAGTGCGATACAATACCCGGCAAATAGATTTCGGCTTATTCTGTTCGCCAAGACCATCCGAGTGATTGAAAATATGATCCTTTCTGGAATGCTCATTCGCTTATACGCTCGAGCTGATTCTCGGCCTCGGAAAGCGGCAAAAGGAGATATGTTTGCCTCATACTGTGTCTTGTACCGATCAAATGATCCGGATGATGCATTTGTTGAAACTTGTATAGTCGCGTGACTAGGTTCTTGCGAATACGCAGAGGAAGACGAAGTCGTGGTAGGAAGTCCCCTGTTATACGTTGACACGTAGCGTGTCTTCTCGTATAGGCTCAAATTGTCTTTCTGAAGTGATGCAACTTCTTGACGTAGCGACGTGACGGTAGCGTAGGTTTTCGACAGCTCCTCCTCGAGTTGCGAATTCTTCTGCTTGAACCGATCCCGCTGGGCCTGGACCATTGGCAGTATTCCAGAGCCACCTCCGACCGGTTCTCCTGCCCGAAGTGCTTCCAACGTGCTAGACGGCGTTCGCGATCCCGTATCAAAGCCCGAGATGATTGACGACGTCGGGGAAGCTCGGCCCCTGCGTGTGGACTGCGGATATCGCAGGGTGCCGGCCACTGACATGCCGGAGGATGGAAAATCATTCGATGATTCTTCCTGAACCTTTAAGAGATCATTTTCGAGTGACACTGTTAGCTGTTGTGACTTTTCAAGATCCGCATTTGTTCTCGAAAGGTCTTCTTGTAGGTTATGAAGCTGTTTTTGCAAATCTTGATGAGAGACTCTCAACATAGTCATTTCGCTGCTCAGCTTCTTGTTTCTTGCCATCAGCAGTTGCTCTAATGACTCTTTGCTACCTTTCTGCGCTGTTCCATTCGCTAGAAAACTTGTGGTATCAGGGTCGTCGTCATCACCAGTGGAAAACTCGATTGACTTAATCATATCAAGTTCACGTTTTAATTCATCATAGTCAGCCCACCTCTCGATTTTCAGTTTCAGCTCTTCGATCTCATTACCCATCTGACGCTTTTGCCGCTCGATCTGAACTAGCTTGTTCTCCCATTGGTGCTTCTCAGCATCCTTATCTAGGCGAGCCGCATCAAGTCGCCGAAGGAGGGCAGAATTCTCCGATTGTAGTGTCTGAAATGTAGGATCATCTTGAATGGTTGAAGATCTCCCAGATTGTGATTGTGATACAGCTTGTGCTAATTCCATCCGGAGCTGCTCATTGCGCGCTTCGATATCCGCTAGCCGCGCTGTTGTCTTCTCGAGGTCGGCGTGAGCCATCTCCAGTTCGGTAGCAGCTGCATCACCCTGCCATACAGATTCAGAATCAGATCCAGCATTCTGACCCAACCTTTGAGAGACTTCGTAGTTCGCCTTAAGCTCCTTCAACAAGCGATCCTGGTTCTCAAGCTTGTCCTGCAATGCTTTCTCTTTCGCATCCCAATTGTCCTGCTTCTCCTGTAGCACTTTGGACCATGAAATTTCAAGCTCGTTATATTGCCGATGCTGATCTTGCTCTAGTTGACTGCGGCTGGTCCTTTCTTCATTGAGGCGCCTTTCTGTATCCTCTAACTGTGAAGTGATCCTATCGAGCCTCCTTCGTAGTGTGTCCCTCTCCTCTGTAATCTTTGGCAGTGTGTCTTCTGAGACGACTAATGATTCGACGCACGCTTCCAGCAATGGAAACGGATCAGGCGCCTCAGAAAGCGACGAATATAGCTGAAGAAAGGCGGAAGATGAAGTCTTTCCTTGGTTGGTAAGCAGGTCAATGAATGTCTGATACGCTGTGTGATGTCAACCCTTGCTCAGACTTGATGGTCATCCCCATACCTTTGAGTAATCCTTTGTACTCTGCTAGCTTTCCAGCATCGTCTAATTTGCGAAAGTCCTTAGTCTTCTGTGCGAGGTCCTTGCGCTGTGTTAGAGAATCGCGTTGATGTGCAACGACTTCAGAAGCGGTAGAGTCAAGCTTTGATACGAGTGTAGATAAATCAATGCCTGCGAAAGCGTTACGAGGTTGCTAGAGCAGGCGAGAACTGATGTCGTACGCACCTCTCCAAGCAGCAATTGCTCTTTGAAACTTGTCGTCTGGGCCAGGTATAGCTTCAGGCCCTGCGTCACCATAGGGCACGGCTGTCTTGTGATCGTTGTCAATATCGCCAGGCACCCTGGCTTCTTCGGCCACCATCATGTCCATATTTGCTATCACACTAGAACTCTGAAATATATTCAACAATGGTCAGTTAGGATAGATGTGTCCCTCATGATACTACCGCGAAGGGCTCCTTCATAAGGTTGTACGAGAAAATGAAGTGTGATCGACTCTCTATATGCTGCACGGCATCAGGTGCTAGCGTGATGCGCAAATGGCGGAAAGCACCGCAGGCAGATCCCGCCCCCGGGCCTATTTTAAGGCTGCCTAACTTAACTGGTAATCAACTTAGTAGGATTGAGGTAAGCTCCATCTTTTGAGACGTGTGCTCGCATATGGCACGATGACAGTGGATGATTTTGATAGCGTTCCAAGGAAAAGAAGACGGCTAGACAGGCCTGATGTACAGCCCTACGTTCTTAAACCGCTCCTGCAAAATGTTCGTCTTGCCGACGACGACTCTGCGGAGGCCGTCCATATCAACTGCGTTGAATACTGGAGTGTGTGCATCAAACACCGATATCTTATCCCAGCTGATTTTCCTTTGCTATAGATGACAATCTTTACATAGGAACATCCGCCTCGGAGATACTTCACTATGTGTCTCTTCCTGCAGAGCCATCAGACGATTCAAGCGAGCCTACCTTTATTGAAGCGTCGCGACTGCACCCTGCCGGGTATGGAAACGAAGGTATATTGCCAGAAGCCCAAGGGGTGAAGAGCATCACTATTTTGCCAGCAGCTTCCAGAGCTTGTATTCTTTGCAACGGAACCGTTTCATTTTATACATTACCAGAGCTAAGTCCTGCTCCGAATGGAAGAGAGGTGCAAGGCTGTCAGTGGGTGGGCGGCATAGATCTGAATCAAGAAGAACAACAGGATAATGGCCCTCAGGATCTTATGGTTGCCAGTGCTAGACGTATAACCATTGTAAGAGTTGGTGACAAGATTCAGGGGCTCAAGAACATCCAATTTCCCGGATGTCTCAAATCAGTCCGAAGAGATACGATCGCTTGCGTGGCTGATGGCGAGAAATACGCCTTGTTGGAAGTGGAACATCAGCAGAAGATTCCGCTCTTCCCTATCTCATCCCTCGAAGATTCGCAAGATGTCAGCGTCAGTGGCGTCGAGGCTTTGCCAGCGCTTGATGCACCTTTGCCTACCAGAACTTCTTCTCTAGCTCAACATGACCCTCTAGCAGGGAACACGTCTAGGCACAACAGGAACTCCAGTCTTGGTAATCTTGTGTCAGGATTGGGCAAAAGGCAGCCAAGTCCGACAGCGGACAGCTCTACACGAGAAAGACCAGCATCCCCCAATTCTGGACTTAGAAGTCTCTCACTAAACAAAGCTCCTTCACACACAAGGAATGTCTCCTCCACAGCTCCGCAACAAAGTTTGCTCTCTCAGACACCTAGCTCACCCGCTACGGTACCTGTGACCCCAAAAGGTGAATCAAAGAGCCATGCAGTGATTCTACAGCCTCATATTCTGTCTCTTACACGAAACGAATTTCTTCTGACCACTGGTACGACCAGGAACGAGCCAGGGGTAGGCATGTTTGTCAATCTCGAAGGAGACGTGGTTCGAGGAACTGTCGAGTTTGCAAATTACCCAGAATCGATCGTACTTGACCGATCTGCGATGAATCTTAACCCATCAGCTGCACAGGAGCCGAGTTCTGCCTTATTGTGTGTCATGATGGGATCCGACGTAGGCGAGGGCGCAGGAAAAATAATACAGCTTCTATCACTTTCTTTCGATTCTGGTGCTATGATGAAATCTAGCGACTTAATCAATGTACCTGAAGGAAGCCGGCATGTAGGCATCAAAGACACTACGAGCGCGATAATCCATGGATTTCATCAGGTCGGTAAATTACTGCGACTGGTCCGAGTGCACATAGCAGAGTACGGGGAGCTGGAGACAGGAAGTGCTTCTAGGCTTACCCAAGCTGGTGATGTGACACCAGAATGGGAAGTCAAGAGAAACAAAGAGGAAGCTGACTTTGCCCAGACATTCGGCAAGACTAGGAGCCAAGTCATTGTGTGGTCCGACAACACTCTGCTTTGCTTGAATCAGAATCCTTTGATTCTGCAATTAGAGGCTGAGCTGCAAGTAGCCCGTGATGTTGACGAGGAGGAGGTTGTGACAGAAATATTTGAGAAGTTGCGCGATCTGGAAGTTCGAACAGAGACCGACTTTCTGAGCTTTAACTACATCCGACAGAAGGCTAGTTTGATCATGTTGGCGAAAGTGATGGCAAGCAATCTGGCTGATTCCATGCTTACAGCGATGAAGTCGGCAGAAAATATGCTGATTGAAAGCAATCTCGACCCTCGCATAGTGATGTTATTGACCCCTATGCTCAAAGAAGAAGCGTTACAGGGACCTCAAGGTATTTGGCTTCCAGCAGGCCTTGCTGGCCTGGTAGAGGGCATGCTAGAGTCTGGAACGATAGCAGCCGAAGATGTCACAACAGAGTTTTGGCAGATGGTGAAGCGGTACATGGCGATTTGGCAGGGCAAGAGAGGATTTGGAAGCATCACAGATGAACAATACGTCTTTGACAGTGTCGATGCTGGGCTCCTCCATGTGCTATTACATCTTGAGCAGTCACTCCCTCGGAGCTCTTCCGCTGCTTCATCGATCCGAACAAAGCTTTACAATGTCGTGGATAATTGGAAGGGAGATTTCGATCGTGCTGTCGTGTTACTAGAGGACTATCGAAGACTCTTCCCACTTAGCCGATTGTACCAGAGCCGAAGACTTGCAAGGGATGTTCTCGCTACCTGGAAAAGAGTCATCAATGGTGAAGTCGATGGCGTAGGCGAGCTAAATCCCGAGTCCGCTGAAGTGCAAATGCGGCGCTATCTTGTCAACATCCGCGATACAGCTCTAGTACAGGAATACGTACTTTGGCTAGCACAGAAAAACCCTGATCTTGCAGTCGAAGTTCTTACCGACGATAAGAGTAGGGTCAGTTTCCCGCCACCCCTTGCCCTTCAGCTTCTCAAGAAGGATGCTCCTGGCGCCGTTCAGAATTATCTCGAATATTTGGTTTTCAACAAAGGCAGTTCCAGATATGCCGATGATTTGATCGCGTATTATCTGGATTCAGTTCTCAGTGTCCTTGAATCGTCCGAGGCGGCACGTGAATCTCTTGCGCAATCATATTCTACGTATCGTGCTCTTGAGCCACCGAAGCCGACGTATCTGAATTTCATCCATGAGAATGCTCCTCCAGAACCCTGGTGGCAGTCTCGCCTTCGTCTTCTACAACTCCTTGGAGGTGGTCACTACGCCTCAGCTAGTACATCAGCAGAATCGGAGCTCGCATATTCCATTCCGACCGTCCTTGCTCGTCTCGCTCCATTTTCCAAGTATCTTGTTTCGGAATCTATCATCCTAGATGCTCGTCAGGGAAGACACCGGCAAGCGCTGAGCCTTTTGACTCATGGGCTTGGCGACTATGATACTGCCGTGCGTTATTGCTACTTCGCTGGCCCTCAGTCCGCAAGACCTGGCCCTATTGACGAATCACAACTGCCAACTTTCGAGGTGCAGAAAGACCTCTTTGATGCTCTCCTGGATGATTTTCTGTCCATCGAGGACTCATCTGCTCGTCTTGACCGATCGAGTGAATTGTTAGCTAAATTCGCGAACTGGTTTGATCCAATTGTGGTGTTGCAGAAAGTTCCAGGGGACTGGAGTGTGGACGTTCTCGCAGAGTTCCTACTCAGGACTATGCGCGCGCTACGAGGGGAAATGTTGGAAGCAAGTGTCGTGAAGGCTCTAAGCGCGGCAGAGTACTTGAGGAAGCAGGCTGAATTTGTTGAAGTCTGTGAAAAGCTGGGAGCAAGAATGGAAGGCGAGAGAGCACTAGACACGGAGGGTGCCATTGAAATTGCTGCTGCGTTATCAAACGGCGATGGTCCTGATGTTTGATGATTCCCAGGTTCGAGCCAAGAGGGCTTCCCTTCGATGCTGCAAGGCTGACCAAGGAGTCAGATGCCCGCATACTCGGCGCTTGATTGAATTGTACAAGCGCCATTAAATAATTCAATCCATGCCCCAACAGACTTGTTTTCTTATGCTTTCATAAGTATAAAGGTGGTCGGACTTGTGTACTCATCACGACACATTCCAACTTGGGAACAACATCGTCGTAGCACAAGGATACTGTATTGACGCTTGTGCGAGGAAGTTTTTGCATAAGTGATAACCGCCCCTACAGCCAAACGTAGACAAGACAACGGCCATGTCTTCTGAAACAGCTGCTTACTACGAACTTACGCTGCAGTAGTAGTACTCAGTAGTAGGCTGGCGGCTGGCCTATAGGCTTGGCTACCGCCACCCTGCCTGGCACTGGCACTGCTCCGAAACAATTGCCCCCAATGTGATGTGTGGAGTGACATGACCATCGCGGCCACTTCTCTTGCTTCATCGCCAAAGCAATGGCTCTGCCATCCCTGCGACACTATCCTCGCCGTTCTTATAGGCATCACGCTGGCGCGATTATATATTGACACACCACAGTCGCCACCATTGTATGTACTACAACCTTCAATCACCCTACTTGCTGCTTGCGCACTCGTCTATCAAAGTTTGTCGTCTCTCGATCTCGTCTCTCTGTGTCACCTACGGTCGAATGAACCATGCAGAAACATGTGGCTATGAAGCCGAATGCAATCTACCGTTCTTCTCAGGTTTCCTTCCCGCCCTTGACGCCCACAGCGTCCACCCTACCCTCGCCATCATCCAATACTATCTTATCGGTCTCGCCTACAATCATCAGCCCTGACATCGGCCAGCAACCACCACTACAGGCCGCAGGGTTGGCACCGTCGTCGGTCATCATCAATATCAGCGCAGGATCTACAGGGAAGGGCATATTAATTGGAATCCTGTCGGCCTTCGGCTCAGCCGGTATCGCAGTGCTCGTGCTTGCAATCTTCTTTTTCTTCAGGTACACGAATCGAGGAAGGATAATACTAGATCGGATTGGTAGGCCTGGTGAATATGACGATGAGCAGGTATTCGCAAGAGAAGAGGCAGATGCTTTGGAAACCATGGATGAGCTGCAGAGGACCGAGTATCTAAGAGCCAAAGGTAACGCTGTCTGCGCTGATCTTTGCAGTATGCTAATGAATGCAGCATTTGTGCAGGCAAACCCACCAGAGACTCAAATGACAGACATATCACTCTCACAGTTCCTTGCCATCCAAGAAAAGGGAGTTTCAGCATGGGAGTTCGAACCTGAATTGGAGATTGCCAATTGTTTCGTTGAAGCCAGAACCGAGATTGAGTTCTTCGATTCTGTCTGTAGTGTGCAGAGTAATCTGCCCGTACCAAAGCAGAACGAGGTCTACTACTGGGAAGCCAAAATATACGACAAGCCAGAAACAAGTCAAATCAGCATCGGCATGACTACAAAGCCCTACCCTCTTTTCCGTTTACCCGGTATTTGAAGCTCGACTTCACTTGTTCATGTAACACAACTAACAGTATGCAGGGTTCCACAAATCCTCGGTAGCCTATCTGTCGTCTGGACATCGGCGATATAACCAGCCATTTGCAGCAACGAACTACGGCCCACCCTACGTACAAGGCGACGTTGTAGGGGTTGGCTATCGACCAAGAACTGGCACCATTTTTTTCACCCGCAATGGGAAGAAGCTCGAAGATGTTGCACACGGACTGAAATCCCAGAACTTTTTCCCAACCGTGGGGGCCAATGGGCCTTGCACAGTGCACGTCAATTTTGGTCAGATGGGTTTCGTTTTCATTGAGGCAAATGTGAAAAAATGGGGACTGGCACCAATGACAGGAAGTCTTGCCCCACCGCCGCCGTACGGTAGCGAGCAGGGCAGCATTCTTCTAGAAGCTGGTCGGGATGGTGTCAGTCCCTCGCAACGAAACGAGCACGGTCACTCCAGATCCAGGAGTGGGATTACCCGAATCGGGTTTCCAACCAGTCCTGGGCCTCAACGATCACCAACTGACATATCTCTGTCGCACTTGGCGCGTATACCTTCGAGTGAAGATCCAGGAGAAGGGAGAAGCTCAGGTCGACACGATGAAGCGGTTGAGATTGATGCTGGACCTTCTGAAAGCCAACAACCACCTGAGTACACAAGTCCTGAAGGTAGTCAGAAAAGCAGTGAAGAGGGCGGAGAAGACGCGCCATTAGTGCGCAGAGGTGGCCATCAACCTCCTATACCCACCTATGATGCTGCTATGGGAAATGCTCCAGATACCGAGTTTCATGATGATACCAATGAACATTGACGAAGCATTTATTACCCATTCTCCTTGGTTTGGCCATATGGTGTTGGCGGCTGTCAATTAGCGCTCATTGCATCGGCATCTGGGTGGGAATGGTGTTTTACAGGTGGCTGTAGGCTTTAGGCACAAAATGTGGTAGTGAACATGATGAAGTATATATAAGGGAATTTACTCTGACTCAAAGCAAGGCGGTCGTGATCGCCTTACTCCTATACAATCAATTCTTTTTTGACGGGTTACCCTGCAGCACTAGGCGAACCTTATTGATCGGCAAACTGTGCCCCCAAGCGAGACTTGCTGTCCCAAAGTGAAGCTCGTGTGACCATGCTGTTAAGATCCTGTCGGGCGATCAGGACCTCTCGTTGCAGTAGAAAAGTCAATGGGTTGAGCAGTGTCACATGCCAGATCTGGAAGCAGCCAAACGCGGTCAAACGCCAACATACTTGATACCGAGAAGCATTCCGATATTTCAGCCTGCGGTGTCACATCCTTTGTCAAAACAATCCAGTTCTTTACAGCAGATACATCTCCGCGCAAGAAGTGTGATCCATTAAGCCGGCGCATGATCAAGAATCGACATAACTATTTGAACGCCCGCTCGCACAAGCCCTCCCTTGGCCCTGCATTCATCTTGATTAAACCTGTACTCATTCAGAACCCCAGCTGCAATAGTTGACTTCCAGGGTTGGATCGCCATTGTGGAGCTCACAACTGAAGAAAGACCGACTCGGGGTCACAAGGAGAACACCGTCAGGGATATAGCAAGCAGTCGGTTATTGATAGAATAAATGCGAGGGGATAGCCGCAGGGGGGATCATGGGCGACCTCCGCCAGCCAGGACGTATGGTAAACAAGAAGGCGCCTCGTTTCAGGTCATAGTATTGGTAAGCAATGGAGCCCAGAAGCGTCGTTGAGGTTGTCTGAAACCTTGCCCATCATCGTCTCCTACGCGTCATGAAACAGACTATTTCATTGTTCTTCTAATCTATCTCGGCTCGTTGCATAAATCTAGCATCAGGCTAACGTTGTCTGTGCGTTCCAGGGCTCAAGCGGAGGACCCAGAGAAGATACAGTTACTGGGCTTCTTGTGCGATCTACCAGCAGCGAATGGAAGAAGGGGTCGCTCATTGCAGTGGACGCTGGAGCACACCTAGCAAAGATAATTCGCATTCTCGAGGACGAGCATGAACTGCCATGGAACAGTCAGATCGTTCCAGAAAAGGACTACTCTAGGACCCTGACCAGCGGTCCATTTGCTGGAGTTCAAACTTCCAGCATATCTGCCAAAGCTACCGCCCTATACATATTTCGCGAACTACTACATTCATTCCTAATCACGCACCCTCACCTCGATCATCTAAGTGGTATGGGAATAAATACACCTGCCCTCGAGTACGGTCGTGAAGCCAAAGCCATCGTCGCGCTACCTTCAACCATTGATGCAATAAAGAACCATATTTTCAATGATGTGATTTGGCCGAATCTCTCGGACGAGGGGCACGGCGTCGGATTTGTCACCTATCGCAGGCTCATCGAGGGGGGAAATCCACGCTTGGGTCAGGGTGAAGGAAGGGGTTATGTAAATGTTTGTGATGGACTAGCGACGAAATGCTGGAGTGTCAGTCATGGCCGCTGTAGACGGCGGAGTCAAACCATTAGTCATCAACGCGATGGTAGTTTGGGTTTCGCTCCTGACGGCTACCCGTTTTCTGCCCGAAGGATCTCACAAGTGTCTGACGGGTACATGAATGCTGCCGGCCCACCACATCATGCAAGCCTGCCGGTTACCCAGCCCGCCTTTCCCAGAACTCCTGGCGCTCACAGTGAAAACGCTGACCCAATTACCCATTACCAACCTGTCGACAGCTCAGCGTTCTTCATCAGAAACGACTTCAATGGCCAAGAGATCATTATCTTCGGTGACATTGAACCTGACTCGGTCTCCCTTCATCCTCGAAACCAAGTGGTCTGGGAAGACGCAGCGCCCAAGATCATCTCTGGAACGTTGAAAGCCATGTTCATAGAGTGCTCTTTTGACGACTCCGTCCGCGATGAAGACCTCTACGGCCATCTCTGTCCTCGGCATCTCATAGCCGAACTCGGTGTTCTCGCTGGTAAGGTAATGACGCACAGACGAAACCAACAAGGCATGAGCCTACAAGAGCCACCGAGCCCTGGCGCGGTCAAGAAGAAACGAAAACGAAATAGCGACGAGCCTTCCGGCACTCTAGCAGCCGCCTCAGCCCCTAACGGCTCCGCAAACCACCTTTCCCCTACCACCCCTAGGCCGACTGACATTCCTGCCCCAGGCCAAACTCACGCGCGCAGTCTATCTCATACCCGTCGCGCCAGGACTGTCCACATCGCAGATGGCAGCCCTCACGACCCGGCCAAGATCCTCGGTGACGATCATTTGCGTCCTCTTACACCTGGCGGTTCGGTTGCTCGGCCGGAAACGCCCGGCAGGTACCAGAGTCCACATCCTGCCGTTTCGACACCAAGCCATCTGCCTGCACCACTGAAAGGGCTGACTGTACATATCATTCATGTCAAGGATACTTTGGCGGATGGGCCGCCTCCTGGGGAGGTTATCCTGAAGCAGTTAAGAGACCGTGGAACTGAGGCTGGGTTGGGTTGTGAGTTTGATGTCACCAGCGATGGAGAGTCTATTTGGATATGAGAGAAGCTGTCATGAAGGCCGCTAGTGTCTTGTGAGGCTTATGGCTTGCTGATATCTCTGTGCGCATACTCTCTTTGTAACCATGACCATTTTATCTCGGATAGCTCACTCTTGTTAGTCAATTTCGGTCAGGCTGGACAGTTGGCTAAGCTTCTTAGCTGACACGCTGCTCATGTTCTCAACTCCTTCATACACTGAATATACTGGATACTTCGATAGTGAGTTCCGCTCGTACCCGGACAACCGTCATCCCCATCTTCATTAGTCACCCCGCGCCGTCATTGGCTCAAGTCGTCATCAGCTTTCATCGCATCCATAGCCCCGTGAAATGCCTCATCATCACTTTTACCAACAATACCAATGCAACAGCGCACATATGGCGTATCGGGAGGATTGTTTAATAAGCTGAAGTCGCTGGTCTCCGCTACGCGATGAGATATTCCTCGGCAGTGATTCTTTCCGCAAACTCCGCTCCCATGAAAAGGGACAGGCATTATTGATGGTCGGTAGGGTTGCGTATTGAATAGGAGTGGCTGGCTTGTTATAGTTCGGTGATGAAGCTCTGACAGCACGGCGTTTGTTCTATGTCATGCGAAAGTTGAAGATCTTTGATCCTCAAGACCTGTTTGCCGCAGCCATTGAGAACATTCTGATTGTGGGTAATCGGGCTTTTAGCAGGCGTCCTGTCCTGCTGACATCGTCACGTAGTTGTGGCGAACCATTGAGGCTGCATTTGGATGCTGTGGGCGGAGATGTAGGGCTGAGAACGGGATCAACTACCTTGTCATCATGCACACTTATCCCGGATCCAACTTTGGCTCTCCTGTAAATGAAGTTGTCACCGTCAAAGTCAAGGTTGGACACATAAGAAAAAGAATCATACAGTACCCACTCAAAAGTTTGAACGCAAAACGCGCTAAAGTCGAATTTTACGCGTTTTTTCTCTACAACCCTCTTACTTCAACAACGAATTATGTCACAACGCAGGCCATTACGCGAAATCAGTGGTAATAGGCCTGTAGGCCATGAATTGACGACTAATGAGCGAGCTCAGATAGTCGGTGCCGTCAAATGCGGTGCCAGAATCGCTGACACCTCAAGAACGCTCAATTTCACCCCCGAAACTGTCCGAACAACTATTCAACGCGAATCAATACGCCACGCCAACGAGACCCTACCACGCTCTGGCCGCCCTAAAAAGGCAACCGAGAGGGACATTCGTACAATTGTACGCTGTGTTCGAATCAATCCAAAGCATACATATCGTCAAATCAAGGCTGAACTACAAATTTCACTCTCAGCGAGTACGATCAAGCGCATCCTTGCTTCATTCTATATTAGGAAATAATAATGTAAATAAAGACCTGAATTAAGTAAGGCAGTAGCTAAGCTTCGTTATAAATAGGTTTTGCTTCAAAAAGACTAGAGTATAGAGGAATAAGGACTAATTATCTTTAGTAATAAATTAAGCGTTAAACAAGGTAAAAGGGATTATTAATAATAGGCCTAGTATATAACTAAACAGAAGTAGTCTCCTTAATTTATTTAAACCTATTCTAAAGGCTATAATACAAGCATTATAGTATAAGGTACTATAGCTTAAAAAACGTTTAGACCTAGTTATAATAATCTATAATAAGTAGGCTAAACGTAATAGATACTTAGCCAACTTATATATTAATATACTTAACTAAACTATTAAAAGATGCTAGCAACTAGGTATGACCTTTATACAGGATAACGCCCTTATTTATACAGCCAAAAAGATATCAAAATAGTTCTAAGAACAGGCTATACCAGTGCTTAATTAGCCTTTATACTCCCCAGATTTGTGCAATGGCTCGAAACTAGAACAAGTCAATAGTCCATAGATTGCTAAAACGTAAGCTGAGGAGTCTATCTACAGTGCGGCCAGCGCTCTACTCTATATACTCCTCCATCGAACACAAGGGGTGCTACTAGTTAACCTGCGCGGAGGATCCGACGGAGTATCTGCAGGGCCAGAAGCGGTAGCTTCCCTCTGGAGGAGATTGTACTTCCCTAAAGGGGTCGTATCAATCTCCTGTTCCATGGTACTCGTACGGGGGGCCACGTGCCGTACGGATGCCTCTATCGGCGGCATTGTAGCTTGACGGCAAGAGTTCCGCGTGCCGTTGTGGATACGCCATCGGCGCTGCTATCCGAGTGCGTGGCTGGTCCCGTGTATTTCCTGCGCCATGGCAGAGGAGATACTCCATCCATCACAATTTGAACCCAATTAAACACGTCTGGGCCAAAATGAAATAGTGGATCAACGAGCAGTATCCACACCTTAAGGATATAGGGAATTCGCAGAGCGCCTATGACGAATTGGCCCGGGTCATAGTAGAGGCCTGGGAGGCCATTCCTCAAGAATATATTGACAGTCTTATCAAGAGTATGGATAACAGGGTCAATGCCGTACTCGAGGCAAAAGGATGGCACACCAGGTACTAGAATCAAGAGTCTTAATCAGGAAATTAGTATAATTCAAATCGCAAGAACCAGGTGAGCATTTTGAGCCACTTTTCATTGAATTCCCAAAAATTTTCGCATCGTAGTAGTAAAATGTATGGGGAGTTGAAAATATCGGGGTGGGGCGCGAAAGTGGGGTGCGTTCAGACTTTTGACCTAGTACTGTAGGCTATGGTCGCTGTGGTGCAGACCCTAGTAGAGAAAATTGACATCGCCGTAAAAAAAACTGCACTTGTACTCTGTATACTCACTGTGTTGAAGGAGAGCACACCTGCTGCGTCCGGTCAGAACCAAGCAGTCCTTCAGCTTATAGTTACTTACCAGAGTCAGCCAGGGAACCCTTCACCTTATGTCTACATACTGCTGTCACTTAAAAACTTAAGTAAGTTGGCTAGCAACTTCATTAACCTTCTTAGTGATCCACTTCTCATGTTCTCTACGTAACTTAGTTCTTCTTCATATAACCTTCTAACTTTCTAACCGTTCTTGACCTAGTTCCAGTGAAAAGCTGTTGATCCCAAAGGGCCGCGGTCACAATTGGCCGCTAACCAGCTATTTGTCTGACAAAAGCACTCCCGCCGTACTGTGTAAGAGTTTCACAGGTTTTTTCTAAGAATTTTCGGTGGCAAATATGGTTGTCCTCAAACTGGGTTGCACGGTCAATTGATGTTGGTTAGTCGACTAAAGACACATTTAATTGCAACCTTCATCAGATGACTGTTGACGAGTCCGATCGATAGCCGGCGAGACTTTCTTACACCTTCTACCCGAGGCAGCTTACAGTCCAGGTTTGCATTAAGCTGTGGATACCGACGTGTACTCACTACCAGTTAATGCAGTTGATGCTGCTTCGCCTCGGAATGGTTTTGATATATCCAAAATGCACTTACACATTAACAACCACAGAGCAGTGATGATTTGAAGGACTTATGGATCCTTGAACATCAGAGCAACAGCCAAATGACAACAAAGAACCTTCAATTCATACAGCTTTCTGCAAGGTCAATGCCGAATAGGTATCAGGAGCGGCCTATATACCTGAAAGACCGTTACTACTGCTTAAGTTCATTGGAATGGCGGAGCATACTAATAGCATAATAGATACAGAGCAAGCCACTAATAATTGCTTCACGCTTAACAAAACAAAGACCTCTAACGTTGTCATGGTACAATCTACAGGTGAATGATGTGATAAAAATGCGGCATCCGGGACGGAAAAAGAGTCGAATGGTTTCGCAACCATCCGTGAGGGCCTCCCTTTTCGCCTCTCACTCTTCAAACTCCTGAGCCAGTCCACGAAGCTCCTTCCAAAACTCCGGATCACCTTCCTCGCCATTCTGCGGCTTGATATCAGAAGGATACACCACTCTCCACTCTGCATCCCTTACCAGTCCACCTCTCTTCCACATGGCATCCAAAAGGTACACATCCAAATCCTCCTCTTCGTCCGGCTGCGTTGCGTTCGCCTCGTCCCAGGCGCGCTTCAGTCCCTTGATCGTGGTCATGAAATCTCTGGGCAGCATCTCATAGATCACTGGGTCGTTGAAGAGACCCATCGTCTTCAGGACCTTGACCGAGACCATGTAATACGGCATTGAACGATACAGCCGGGGGAGGGTGTCAAGGCAGACGGTGGCATCGTCAATATCTTCGCGTGTAAGATCGAAGGCTGGCTCGTCTTCTGAATTGGAACCTCGGCGGAGAGGGAGAGCGCCGGTCATGGAATCGTTCACGTCGCGGATATGCTTCTCAATCCTCACATGTGGTGTTTTTCGTTTCACTCTAACACCGCCACGTCTCCTCCCGAGCGCCTCTTTGAAATCCTGATCCTCCTCCTCAATCAAAAGGTCAATCAGTCGTTGAATGTCATTGTTAGTCCACCTCCCGTCTTGAGTGTCAACGTCGATGTTGTTGCCAAGGGAGAGGAGCTGGGCTTTCATGAATTCACGCTCCCTAAGCTCCTTTCGTGTCATGGTGTCCGTCTGCCGTAAGGACCCCAGCTTTTTGTGGCTCGGTTGCGGGATCGGAAATCTTGTTGGTGATACGATCCTTGTTGGCGGGCACGATGAGCACTTTTTTACATAGGGGTTCTGAATCCCAAGATTTAACTTGCTGGGAGTGTCGATCAAAGGGCAATCGGAGCATACTATGAAGGTCTCTGATGAATGAGCCTTTCACTCATGAGCAACATGGCAATGCTTCTTTGTATGGTGTGTGAATGTGGGTTGCCGGTTTCGGCGTTTTCTGCATCGGGTGAAATATTTCCCACTACCTAGGTCATTGTTGTTGACCATGGTCAGTCATTCAACAGACAATCGCATAATGGCATTCGCAATAAGAGCCATATCAAACGCCATTCCAACACCAACTCCATTGTCAAACCCTTGGTCATAAAGGATGACCACAACTTGAACTTGATAGCCATCACTCTGGTTGCCAAGGCGCCAAGAAACGACCTCCTTTGTTCCTTTGTTCCTTTGTCCATGTTGAGATAGCACAGACCTTTCCACTCTTCACCCACGCACTAACCTCAGCATCGGAGTAGAGTTGCAGAGCTCTCGGTAAATCGCTGGTCATGGTCGAGAACTGACACGTTCCTTATCCACACCTCACTATCATCATAGATCCAATCTTGGCCCACCATTGAGAACCTTTCGGTAGACAAGGTAGGTACCAAGCCGCGAAGGACATGGTACCATTATATCCCAAGGCCTTCTTATGGCTCGAGGGCAGTTTGTCTATTCTTCAGCGAACAATCGAAAATCGCGACTTCCCATAATATCCTCAACGTGTACGTGTAATGGAGACAAACGGGACCTGCAAAAGAAGGGCTGGTACTCGATAACACAGAGCAGCATATCTGCAATATCCAGACTTATTCCTCGCACCTAGCTACTGGTGTGAGAAAGGCTCAAAGTCACTGACATATGCCCGCCCCTTGGGCCTTAATGTACAACTATCAGCTTATCTGACTGACTGGTGCAAGCCCCTCCCACAGAGCCCCTCCGTCACACATATATACACCATCAAGCAAGCAAAGAACCAATCCAGCCGAAAAAAGACGTTCATACACGAACCGCTTGCCGGAACACCAGACAAGAAGCGGAAACCCCAGACCAGTTTCTCGTCCAAGTACTTTCGAAATCGCAATACCTTATCCGATACGAGTGGGCCTTGCACGACCTTCTCTCACCCCAAGCTCGGTTCGACATCAAGGGCGGCAATCATACCGGTCAAGGGGTTGAAAATCGCTCAACACTTCTCCGGAGAGTGCACCCAGTTGATCGAGAAGCCTAGCTAGGCGATAAAGTCTTCTTGGTCGCAGGCTGCTGCCATCCATGCCAGGTTAAAGCCCCGCCCAGCAAACACACCATGTCACTTAGCTCAGCAAACATTTCGTTACCCTCCCTATCAACTCCGATCCGTGCATGATACCCCCATGCATCAGCATCAGCATCAGAATCAGAATCAGAATCAGAATCTGCATCAGTGGAGTTCTATATCCCAACGCCCGCCGGCCCCGCCGTTCATGGCAGGCCGCAGATCGATCACACGATATATCACACATCGCGGTGGGCGGCCACAAGACTTAGACGAGGGGGGTTTGGTTCTGTTACCGGGGGCCATAATTAGACGTCGGATGGTTGGGACGGTGCAGGACTCCCTTAACAATGAGGGGAAGGTGCTTTAGGAAACCTGCATGATATGTATGGGTTGATTGGGTGGGTAGTATATTCGTAGGTTTGAGACACATGGCGATTTGCATGTTCTTCATTTGGGGAAGGGGGGGGGGAATTCATATTGATGCCGGAAAGAAGACGCTTTACATAATCGTGGGTAGGGTAGGCTGACGTGGATTACGGAATAAGGACCAGTGTTCGATCGAGCACAGAGATAACAGGCGGAGAGAAACATGTGCAATAGTCGGCCGTTATATTGAGTTCTATCGTGTCATCGTTGCAAATATAGCGTTCATAGATTTCGAAATCTAGATCCAAATGTTATACACCAGCCCACTTTGAACTCCATGCTTCGGGCGCATAAATACCAAGTCCACATAGGGAAGCGATAGAAGAGTCTCGTTCGCAAATAAGGTTTTCACTCCTCGCACATTTTCATCATCATGTTTGTACCGCAACCCCTTTCCTAGTTCCTGCCTCCTCGATATAGAAGCCAAATACCAAACGATACAGATCCCTCAACCACCCATAATACCCCGTCTGCACCATTGCCGCCACCGCTCGCGCGACATAAACAGCCCCCGCCCTCATCGGCGGACCAATCTCCCTAAATCCGTTCGCATCTGCTAGCACGGCTTTCTTGTAGTGTTCGAGAAGGTTGACCTGCCAGGTAAGGCTGCCGAACGAGTCCGAGGGCATGGATTTGGTGAACGTAGGGAGGGTGAGCGGTCCAGAGCGCTGGAAGCCAGAGTTTTGAGCCGCTTTGACGAAGAGGAGTTTGAGGAGGGTGAAATTTGGGTCCTCGACGATGGCATTAGCGTTGACGGAAGGACTGGTGATGGTGTGAGCGGAAGAGACGTTGCTCAGGGATGAGTTGCGCGATGAGGCAGAGAGCGTGGAGGACGAGGAGGACCATTTGTTGTGGGGCGGTCGGCGGGTCTGTGAGGAGTCTTGTGAGTGGGCAGTTGAGTGAGAGGAGGGCTGCTGCTGCTGCTGTTCCTGATGGCCAGCGGCCAGGATGAGGATATTGGGGGTTGGTGCCTCATCTGGGGACAAGTTGACGGTATCTTCGAATATCGTGGTCGGTGTTTCGGGCAAACCACGCTGCCCGTTATTGCCAACTGTTGGGATGAAGCCAAACTGCTGCGCTTGCTGGAAAGCTTGCGTGAATGTGGTCTGGCTGGGTCGAGGTGTGCCGCGATCAGGTCGAATCTGTGTCCATCCTTCTCGAAACAGGTCACACAACTCCCAACATGCCTGGACGGCGGAGCCAAGAAGCTCTTCGTCTGGATCTTTCCCCTCCCTCTTGTTCTGACGGAGACTGAATAGCATTTCTGCAAGCGACCAGCAGGCACGCAATAATGAATCCGTCTCCTCGGCTAGTCGCGATTTCTGCTTCATCAATCGGTGGCAAAGAGTGATGTAAAAGTCTAGTGTCCGTTCTCGAAATGCCTCGGGCAAATGCCTGTCGTGAGTGTTGTATAGATGGTTGTTGAGCTCAAAGCTGACTCGCAGGACAGAGTCTGCACCTTCGTTCTCTCTGACCCTTACGTCGAACAAGGCTTGACAAAAGTCTCGACAGAGGTCGAGCGTTGGCCTGACATGACTGGTCGTATCATCGTCCCGGCTGTCGTATAGCTTTTGGCAAAGCTTCCAACATGACTTCCATGCATACTCTTGGAGGTCACCCTTGCCAGCGAAGTTGAATATCCGCTCCCGGTGAATGTAGCTCAAGCTTGCTAGAGTATTGCATAACGTCCAACACTCGGCGAGTGCTGTCCTCAAAGCTTCAATCTCCTCTGCCGTGTCTTTGAATTGTCCAATGGTTTTCTGAATGGCGCCAAGCTCCTCTTCGCCGGCTCCTAGACCTGCTTCAATATCATAGGGACCTTCAGGGATGTCTAGACACCGCTTTAGCAAAGCCAGGAACCACAGCTAATAAGGAAAAATATACCTTCAAGACTTGTCTCGAGTGGCTTTTTGTCAAATGAATCTACTTCCAATCGTGTCTGAGCACGAGGGGTGGCTCTTTCGGACCAATCCTTAACCGGCTGGATAGTGGTAGTCAACGCTGGCGGTGAAGTGGGGCCTGTCGCTTGTTTCTGAGGCTAGGTAAGCGTTTGCAATCTTCTCCTCTGCTGCAAGACCCACCAATGATTCTCCATTGGCCTGGGCAGCGACTGGCGATCTAACAGTGGTATCTGACCGTAGCGAAGGTGACGGACTGGAACGGGTCTTGGCCTGTTCCGTACTCCTGGCCTGCAGTTCGGTCAGTGGACTGCAACGGTTCCTACGCGACTCTGCAGCCAGAGACAGAACATACAAATTCTGCGAACCCTGGCGGAGCGTGTATGACAGATTGAGGAGGTTCGTCCTCATCAGATCTCGACCGAGACGGTACAAGTCTTGCAGGTGTCGACGTTTTGATCTGGCCCCAAGTATATCAGCATATGTCCATGCGCGCACATCGTTCTCTTCACCTACAGTAAGCTCCGGCTGCCGTAGAGTAGGTGGGTGACTCCGAACCACGCGCTTGGCTTCACTTGGAATTTCCTTCTGATGTTCCAAAGCCTCATCCAGATCCGCAAATTCAGTCCCATTTGAAGACGGTGCAACTGGGGAGGGATCGATGTAAGTTTCGTTACTGCCATTATTGCTTGGATTGGGTGATGGAGCCGAGAGGTAGGAGTGGGCTTCTTGAGTAGACGACATCCTGCATACATGTTAGTTCATACCCAGCGTCCAAGTGGTGGTGCACCTACATAGAGTTACGAATTTCACTTATGCTCTGACCCGAATGTGGGGAGCCAGGAAGGTTCGCAAAGGGTGAAAAGGCAGACAAAAGACTGCTGGTGGAAGGAGAGGACATCAGTGGTGGTTTAACAGCTATCATCTTCAAAAGCGTCAAGATGTGGGTTCAGTCAACATGCGCCTGCGTTTGCCGGAGATACCGCCTTCCAAAGACACGGCCTTGGAGGAGAAGAGATGGACAGTAAATGTACTCCGTCTATCTGGTTAGAGACGAGGGGATCTCTCGCAAAGCTTTGCTACTCCAGACCCCATGCGATGAGAGATCGAGAGCCAAGCTAGATTAGTGAAGCACCAGTGGAGGTTGACTAGCAGAGGCTATGTTTTGGCGGAATACGGAGGAGAAGTTGAACAGTACGGAGGATGTCCAGTCCTGATCGACGCGTACAACGGCAAAGATACTTCCTTGGATAGAAGATGTTGACTTGTGATGCTGTACAGCTGTCACGGCGCGACCTGATGGTCGCTGCCTTCCAGCAGAAGTCTCCCAAGGTTGTACAAAAATTGTCGCGTTGAATATCCGTGCCGAGATGGTTTCCAGCTGGCAAACAGACTGCTCTGCTCTGATTCGATGAGCTGAGCTGACGAAGATTAAGTAATGCAAGTCCCCGCTCAAGAAGGACTTGGTCGAAGATCAGGAGATACCTGTTCCAAGCCGGATACTTTCCTGGAGGCCGGTGGCTTGTGGTCGGATTCAAGTCGGATTCAAGTCGCGTTGACGCGATACTCAGTCGGCCTGTTTTGGGGCGTCGTCGAACCAAGTACACGGGACAAGGTTGGAGATGTGATTGTCCCCAAGAGTTTCAATGCTGCATTAGCCTGAGCTAGCTGTGCCATCTTTCAGCTGCTGGATTCCTCTCCTTGGACCATTAGTCGACCATTAAAGCCACCACTACAACCAAAGCAAGCACTTGCAAGGATCTAAGCGCCTACGCTTCAGAGAGCGCTAATACTATGGCCATCCTTCGAGGCTTGGTATTGTGGATGCTCACCAACTTGAATGTCGAACACATGCCACGACAGAGAATGTGGCCCGGTCGCTGGACAGAGAACCCACTCCTCGGTGTCCAATCAGCTGCCCTATTTCGCAGGAGGGGGCAACTTCTCGGAAGGGCAATCAAGTTTAATGCGTGTGGATGACGATAAGGCTGAATTGCGTTAAACTAGCAAATGGATTCAGAGCGACCCCAACATCTCTGCAAGCCATAATGGGGATATATACATTCCGTGACAAATAGTGCATGCAAACTGCACTTAGAGCTTGTCAAGTGTCTGAGTCTGTTACACGAAGTCTTCCGGAGGACAAGTCCGGCCATCCTCTCCTTACTTGGCCAATTATACATCCTGAGGCGCTTCAAGCTGGAGAACGTGGCGTCACGGTGCCTGGGTTACAGACTATCTGCTTCTTACTACTACATACGTGGTAGTACGTACGAAGTAAGGGCTGCTTTAGTGTATATGCGGTGGCCTCAGTCATGGCAAAGAAATTCCGCTTAGACCTCAGCCTCGGACACGAGGACGATACTCTAAAGTACAATATTGACAACAATCATGAAGTCAATTGAACCAGGGGGGACGACCAGGCGCTTCTTACACCATTACCACCATCCAAGTCTTGCTCTGCTCTTTATCATGAACTGCTAGCTAGCAACATGCGCCTAAGGTTGCGGAGACCTTCCATCTTAAGATAATTCTTTCCTAGGGCAGGCCTTACGCTTTCGCAGCTTGTCCCATAGTGAGTCGTCACCATGATAAGCTTTGAGCATCTGGACGTCTGCTCAATGTCGCCTGTACATTTCTGATATCTGCTCTCTTCCTGCTTGTATGAGGTATTTTCTCGAGAGTCTAATGTATTCGGTGTGGCTGCGCCAGATCACCACATTCCATGCGCCTGTGATCGTACAGGCTAGGTGTTCGATTGCGAATTGCAAGATATATCGGACAAAGTAGACGGAAAACGAGACATGTTCATGTGGGGAACAAATCGAGATCAGCGTCTAATGCGCTTTGAGTTTCCGCTCAGATGGGTCGTATCTATATGAGCTTAGCAGGAAACTGTGAGGGTAGCTTCATATGTTCGTACGCTAGTAGCTTCTCGATCAGATCAACGTGGGTCATCAACATCCGTCGACAGCAATATCTCTTGCATCCGAGTTTGTCCATTGCGTCTCTGTGTGCGCAGGAATGTGTCAGCGTTGCAAAGCCTCCACAACGCCAGAAAATCTGCTTACCCATCCCCAACACCATCATCTAGAAGCGCCATGTACCGTTCCCAAAGATCTGCGATAACCTGAAAAGTAACTTAATCGAGCAGACCCAAACGAGCAGTTTTTTTGCTTACCTTTCCGCAGGAGAAACACCTCACGGGAATGATCATTCTCACAGTCTGAAGCTCGAGTATAACAGCAAAAACAGGTTCTGACAGCTTCGTGGTCTTGTCTTTCCCTCATGCACTGTGAACAAGAGGATATTGGTGAAGGAAGGGTGAAACTGGGGTGAATTTGCAGGGACTTGGATTCTTACATGCAGGCTGCGGCAGAACTTGAGGCCCTTAGAGATGTTCCAGCAAGATGGATCTGCAGCACTAAACCTTAATTTCTTTTTTCTATGGACGAAATCTTGGCACGGATTTTTCTCTTGCGGAGTTCAAGTTGTGTGTGACAGACACGATGCGGTAGATTCAGCCTGCGATTCAGCCTGCAATAAGGAGACGACCAAGCAATTGCCAGCTGAGATCCTATCAACGGCATCAGCTTTTTTCAATAATTATCATTGGTGGGCTGAGCAGAAAAGCTGTCCCATACACTGGTACTACATGGAAAGTACACTGTTCTCTGACATGCACCATGTCCAATGGAGAAATTTCGAATTTGAAGAGACCTGTCGATGCTGCGTTCGGTAGCGAAAGAAATGAACACAAGTCGAAGCAGTCTAGGCGCAAGCGATCGAAGGCCTCAGGACCTCAGCAGGATTCTGCTCAAGAACTGAATTCCATACCAACAAAGGGCCACACCTCACCATCACGGAACGGGACTCTAAAGGCTTTGCAGCTGCCAAATCCCTTGCAGTCACGATCGCCGGCTGAGAATGCGCTCAGTGCCACCCAAACTCGGGAATTGGGAGGGCAGGGCCCACGCCAACATTCGAAAAAGACATCACGAAAGCAGAAACGATCTTTACCTCCAGAATGGTCAATTTCGGCTGCTGAGGCAGGGCGATTCATAGATCATGACCCAATCCTGATGCAAAAAGACCGGTAGGCATTCCAAACTCTACTTGATTCTGACACTGACCCGCCTTGCCTTAGCTATTTGATCCTTGCAGTACGAACGCAAGTACTGGTATATTCCACCCAAAATTCTCGCCTTGTGCGATCTCTCCGGCTTGATGAGCACGAGAAAATCACTAGTTATACAACCTGTGCTACTAATGAGAATTGTATTCTTGTTTCAACATATTCTGGTCTGGTGGTGAAATGGGATTGGACTACTGGGCAAGAAATAAAGCAATGGAGGTCCTCTGCGAAACTGCTTGCCATATCAGAGCAGTCCGAAATTCAGGACGATACCCTCTACCCAACCATGTTGTTGATACATGAGGTGACAAGCACAACCCGTAGGGTCAGCCTCGCCACACTCCAAGACTCCTCTGTTAAGATCATTACTGATAAAGTTATATTGGAGGAGAATCAACTAACTTCCTGGATCAGAGTCTTAGACAAGAGGAGATGTCTGGTTCTCTATGCCTATAATAAGTTATTCCTTGGTCAAGCAGTTCGGAGACCTGAAGATCCTGCTAGTGTGTATACTTGGCGGGAGATTGCGGTCCCAAGGAGGATCACTTCTATCGATGCAAGGTCTCATAGCTCGTCTTCCAGCACCAACAAGAAACACTTGGCCATTGACATCGTGATCGGTTGCCAAGATGGGTCAATACTCATATATGACGACATCTTATTCAAGCTGATCAACAAGGAAAAGAATCCAAGAGAAGAGGACATTGCGTCCCGCCGATTTCATTGGCATAGGAATGAGGTTTTGACTGTGAAATGGTCCCTTGATGGCAACTATATCATTTCTGGCGGCCATGAAACCGTTATGGTCATTTGGCAACTTGATACTGGACAAAAACAATTCCTACCTCATCTCTCTGCAGCCATACAACACCTTACTGTATCTGATACTGGTTCGAGTTATGCACTTCACCTGGCAGACAATTCAGTGATGGTCCTGTCCACATCTGAATTAGAGCCGTTTGCATACGTCAGCAGCTTAAACCTGCAACAGCCTCGCTTGTACGGGAAGAAAACGAGGAGAATCCAAGCAATCCTTCACCACACAGACCCTACTTCGTTACTTCTGGCTGTTGCGGCAGATATTCCATCTGGGACCGCAAGTCAGGGAAAGGCTACGTTGTTACAAACGTATGATATTGGAGCCCAACAACAATCTCATCGGCAAGCTTTGGTGCGGAACAACATCACAGCCTTGAATGTGGACCCCTCCGGTAAGCCGGTCCAAGAACCGGATGTCACTCATCTGAAGATCAGCCACGATGGAAAATGGCTTGCCACTGTTGATGATTGGGATCCGCCTGCTGACGATCTGAAAACCTTATATCCAGCTCATGATGACCATACCCCTCATGCCAAAGAAACCTTTTTAAAGTTCTGGGCGATGAACACGTCAACTCGTTCGTGGGAGCTTGTCACCAAGATTGAATGTCCGCATTCAACACGATCGACGGCACCCTGCTCAATTCTTGACTTGGAAGCCAACCCTCAACGGACAGAGTTCGCAACCATATTATCCGACGGGTCGATCTACATCTGGACAGCAAAGAGCAGGCATCGCAACGGCTTGCCAGTGAAAGACAAATCCGGTTCACCCCTCTACACCTGGAGTCACACACACACAGTCCAGCTACTCATTCCTCTCAAGAAGATCACTCCTACTGCCAGCGCCCTCTGTTACTCACTAGATGGTTCCGTCCTCGCAGTATCTTCCAACAAGTCAGCCTTCGTTCACTTCGTTGATCCACTCACCGGCAACGTTCAACACACACAACACGGCTCTCATCCAGGGCTCTTCTCCTATCTCACCTTCCTAAACCACCATCTTATCACCATCTCCAAAGACCTGCGCGTCTACAACACTGTAAGCGGTGACTTGCTCTACGCGCTAGCGTTCAACTCCTCTCTCTCCGGCGTGCATCTAGCAGCAAATCAGCTCGACCAGACCTTCGCTGTCGTGTGCCTCCTTCCAGCAATCATGAGCAAAGAGAAAGAAGACAAGGCTAAGCTTAAGAGCCAGATCATGCTCTTCAACCTTAAATCCGCTAGTCCGATATTCAGAAGGATAGTCGATGGCACCGTGGAAACCATCCTCCCTTTACCTAGTGAGAGTGGCTATCTCATCATCAATGACGAGGCGGAAATTGTCTACCTCAGACAACCAGGGAGTAGCCTCGCGAAGAGAAACGATGTAGAGCTACCAGCCCTGGAGGATGCACCAAAAAGAATGGACCTGGAGGAGATTATAGGAAGGAGATCCATCGAAGGAGCTGGACCGGTTGGCCACATGGTAAGTAGTGCGGAGAAGGAAGATGACAGCGCACAGAAGATGCAACCGATCGGGTATACCCATAAAACGCAATCGTCGCTGTCAGACGTCTTTAACAATCACGCCACTAATCTGCCGGTGAGAGAGTTGTTCGAGCAGGTCGTTGCTGTGCTTAGGGGCGGCTCAGAAGCTTAGTGTTAATTGAGCTTCCAAACGAGGGTATGAGATGATGATGGTCTAGTACGGCTTGGAATCGCATGCCGTGGTAGATATGAACAGAATAGCTTGTGTACAGGAGGAGTAACTACTCTGCACGTATACCAGTGGATAGAGAGAAGTATATACAGGTACATGTATTCAGCTAGAGACGAGGAGTGTTCCCTACTGTCTCAGAGAATAGAAGAGGCAGTTTCTGCTGCTGCAGTCACATTCCTGGCACTATCCACAACCCACCGATCAGCGTGCTCAATTCAAAGTTAAGGCGCTTCATTCGTTATGTACAGTAACTCCCTCGGCCTCATGTGAAGAGTAGAAACCTCCTTTTCCCATCGAAAGTATAAAAGAAAATTATATGTCTTAAAATAATTATCTGTTAATTCTTGGTCAGGAAAGGGTATTTTGTCGAACAGTGTGAGCGCCTATTGGCCAGGTTCTGCATGCGTAATCTACGCGTTTTGATTGGTCAATTCTTAACTGCAATTTCGCTTTCTAATTTCGCTGTACCGTATACAGCCAGTTTGTACGTATATCTACGCACGCTGCCCTTGCATTAGATAGAACAACTTGGTTGTCTTACGGACCTCCTGCAGATTGTCACATAGTACTCCGTATTCCTCATCGCGACTTATTCGATCTATCTTACGCCTATCCCATCCATCCCTAAATAATGAAATAGACTTCTACGCCGTCAGCAGAAATTAGTAGTTCACGGTCCCCCTGGAGGGACCACAGTCATTTCGGTCCCAATACATACCCATTATACCCAGGGTGTATAGGTGAGCTAAATACCAGTAGTCTGTTACACATATATCTGAACTCGAAGGATTGATGGGGATCGATCGTGCACAATGTCCTAGCGACTAACACCTATGCATCCTACACCAACCAAACAGTCTCGGATACCCTGACTTCGGCAGTGTACGCGAAGGAACTCACGAGGAATCAGTCTATGAGCCCTCCTTAGGCCTTGGGCAATAGTATGATGGGGGTGACTCTGTACCCCAGAAGCAGCTCCATAGACGATGGGAACCGGTTACGCTCTTTCGTTTGAAGAAGAAGAATTATAGAAAGCGCACATTGCACTAGATCGTGGAAGTTTTCTCAAAGGAAAAACAAAAAGGTCTTCCAGGGGCCTGACTTTGCTCTATGAAGGTGTTTCATCTCTGAGCCATAACACTACACCAAAGCCCTTCCCGGAGAAGGAGAGAACAGAAAGTCCTTCTTCAATTCTGGCCTGCCCATGTGATTCGTAGGACGTGATGGGAATTTTTGGGACGGATGACAGTCAATAGCTCCTACTGACTGCAAGTGGTGACGTGCCCACCATTCGACTTGCTACGATGTTTGATCTATGCATCACAAGTGAGGGACTATGATATGGTTATTACGTGGGTTACTTAGTTGGGAGTTAGGGTAGGGAGTGGTGCCATGATGGCTGAGGCTAAGGTGGCTGTGAACGAGTTGCTATCATACCTATTCACGATACTCGGACACCTCGATGGATGGGAACTTGCGGGGCCTTCCACGTTCAAAAACCATTTTACAAAAAAACTTCTTCTTAAAGCTGGCCTTTGGTTACAATCTGGATCTGAATGTCACCCTCTGTTCTCATCATTTCATTGACTGAAGTGGGGTAGTGTCTTCAAGTTCTGGATTTCTTTCTGGAATACTTCTGTGCTGGTGGTATCCTGGCCAATTGGCGATTGGGATGCAAAAGGGGAAGGAGGCCAAAGAGGGACTTGGGCGGCTCGAGGGTGTCTTTCTCAGGCATGGGATCTGGAAATGCGAAAATGTTGGCGCTATGACCTTCGCCTCTCGCCCATTTCACCGGATAGCATTCGACGAACGTACTCACTATTGGCGTTAAAATCCCTCCATTGTAAGCCGGCAGGCGATCAAAGGGCTGTATCATTTAGCATTATGGTGTAGAAGTAACTATTGATCGGTTTGGAGGGATTTGTATTATGAGTTGAGAGTTATTCTAGTGAAGTTCTGAGACGACCAAACATAAAAATTCGTTTAAATTCTGGTAAGTAAATAGAGCTCAGATATGGATTTTAGAACATCAAGAGAATATGATAGTTAGTAAACTTCTCCACAAGAGTTGTAGTATGAAGTGGTGTTGTCCTTACATGATATAAAGACAGCACTAAACCAAAAAGGGCGACAAAACACATCAATTATTGGGTTTATATTTTATTTCTGAGAGAATACAAATGTCTTCGGACACATGGCTCAGCGGTATAGACGCTGTGTCTTGTGCAAAACCCAGCTAATTACGTCTAACGTCTTTACGACAGATTAGTGAGTGGATTTTCATAGCGGAATGTAACACTTCTCTCCTTCCAGTATCTGACCTATCTCTATGGCAAACTCAGAGAGTGGAGAGTGTTACATGTCCGTGAACTTTTTGCTCTTTTTCACAGCTAGATCTCAGAAGATGTAGAAAATAGGTAGGTGAACGGTCAGGGTCGCACTTTGGGAGAAGTAATAGGAAAAGCGGTTGAGGGGGTTATATAGGAGAAGCGCATAGAAAGGGAGGGCTACTATCAAACAAAACGAGAAGTACACCAGTGTCATGGAGGTATAAATCCCCCATACCTCCTCAACAGGGGTACTGGCGCTGGCCCGGGCCGTATGTCTTCTCTGAGCAGGTCGAGAGACAGACAAGAGCGTGCAATTGGTAGCCCCATCCGATCAGGATTTTCGACACAATGGGGGATCTTTGCGATGTGGTTGCCAATCTCGGAGAGTCAGGTGCTACAGATATGTTTATCAAGATCGCGAAGGAAGTCTCAGAAATGCAGAGAAGAGTGGAGATTCTGTACAGTGCTTGCACTTGTCCATCGACAATCGTATCGAGGTATGGCAGAGTCTTGTCATATTCAAGGGGAGGAAGGCCTCAGGCAAGATAAGGACGAGAAGGAGGAAAATCTTAAAGAGGAGGGTCTCAGCTACTCATTATGGCTAATGCTTGCGCCTACTTTCTGTATCCACCGTGAAATGAGAACAGAGATGTCGGTCCTCAGATGACGTTTGGAGATGAGATCGCTATCGTCCCTGATAGATAGAGACGCAGAAATCAGAATCCCAAGTGACACGGAAGCCTGTTATAGCTGTATTTCTAGAATCGTAGCGCGCCTTTAGCCCATCGGCTCCTTGTTGTGGGAAGGCAGGGCATGCCCCTATCGCACCCAATAGAGCGGTGAGCCTCATCGTTGGGAGTTCGTCTTAGAGACTGAGGCCTTCTGCTGATAATAGGGGACCGGACTGTGGGCTTTGCACCTAGGGTCCACTAGTCGACTCTGGGGGCTCTCACAGTCGAGGGGAAAGTGAAGCCGGAACTGATCATGAGTAGATTCTCACACCCTGAACTCTGCTTGTTTATTCGACTTGTACGGCTAGAATCTGCTTTCCAAATCGAATTTGGGAGGTCGATATTGCTGCAACGCGAGTTGAAACTGGGGTTGGGCTCTTCGAGCGAGCGCCGAACTCCAAGTCAGGCAGAGGTTTCAAGTTCCATGACAGTAAGCGCGCCAAGTTCAAGGAATGGTAGCTTGAGCAAAAGATGCTTTCCGGGGCCAGCTGTCCAGGCGTAATCATTTATTCGAGCGTGATACCACCAGGGTCTGCCGTAAGAACACCTGGTAGATGGTCCCAACATTCCATCTTCATCTAAGGAAGGAGCGGTTCGGAGAAGACGACTCGGACGAAGACGGGCATGTCGGAGAACTCTTGACAGTACAGCGTCACAGCAGGCACATGTCACGCCACACGTTCCGCGACCGCTGTTGCATATCGACACAATACAGGGGGCGGGTACACCAGAGCTGCAGATGCAGCTGCATGCTTCGGAGCACAATCGAATTGGACCGAGAGGAGAAAGATCTCCGATCTACGATCTTTTCGAAAATGATAGATTGATTGGCGTCAGGTTGTGCCGGGTGATGGTGACCTGCCGGAATTCTGTTCTGGCATTGGAAAGGCTGTCTGAAACTGAGGTGCCGGGGTCAAACACGAATCGTTGGGAACTAGTTAGAGCATTCTTGGAAGTGGAGACGAACCTGCAGAGTAGAAGATGAGTTTCTGGGTGAGAAGAATGAGCCTGTGCCGCGTAGAAGAACAAAATCGACAATCTGTATTGGTAGATACAGAACGCACAAATGCAATAACGTCGCATGTAAACACTTAATGCTCAATGTGGAAGAAAAGCAAATAGCGTACAGGCTCGAGTAAACAGGCTGAGCGCAACTACGGATCTTGGCATGAAAATATGGGTGTAGCTATGGATACAAATGAGGACGTATCACATTCCTATTTTCCCTTAAAGATGAGATACAATACAACAGAGCCTGCAGCGTAGTGTTGATATGTAAGGAACACACCGCAATATTGTGAGGGCTATGAGTTATGTGTATCCATTGCTCTGAGGAGCGCCACTTGACCATCTAGAAGGTAACACCAGAATATAGCATGCGTGGCTCCTCTCGCACGACAACCTTGATGTCCCAGAGCAGTCCGTATCCCTCTTCATTTACGCTATCAGCAAAAGCCGGTCCTCGTCTTTTTGCTGTCCATGCACGTGCGAAACATCACAAGAGTACCCGGAGTCTGCATCGCGCCAAGGTCTTCGTTTCATTGGTGATAGCCTGTTGTATCCATCGCTGCAACGGAAGTGGCCGGCCATGGGAAAAAAAAGTCATTCCGTAATAGCTGCGTGCCATTCATGTTTGTGCCAGCCAAAGTGACCATCGGTATATGGCTGTTTTGGGAACCAAAAGAGAGGTAGTCAAAATTGTGCAGGAAAGGCGGCCCCATGTCATGACTTTGATGACTTGAGTCGAGGGAATGTGTTTGCGTGTTAGGAGACACGGAAAAATTATGGAAGCTGTGGTGTGAGGTTGACGAACGGGCAGAATGGCCAGAATGGCCAGAATTGCTAGAAAGCAAGGCGCTGGTGCTGTTGAGAGTTGAGGCATCAACATGATCCATGCTTGGGTTGCAGCTTCCGGAGTTGTTTCGTGGGGGCTGACTAGAGACGTGGCTTTGTGATTGACGTCTCGAGCCGGATTTTTCGCTGGGTGAAGCTGGAGCGTTGAATGGTAGCATGCCATCGGTAAGAAGACCCAGACCTCCCAGGATGGCATGGACGGAGACGTTTCTGTCGTGGTCATCAACAGGAAGCTCTCCCGGGAAGCAGTCGTTGTCTTTGCAGGCCATATACATTCTGCGAATTGCTTCATTGCTGAGATTGAGCATCTGTAGATAACTATAACAGGACAATCCGAGTTAGCATACCATATCATCGTGCTTCCACGTTATCTCTTGAAATCATGTGGCGTCATGGAGGTGCCCTCTATAACATGCATGAAACGAGCACTGCGTACACGGTGTACCTAAGCTCCTCCACTGTACCAAAATCGTCCATGCCATTCTGCGCTTCGATCGAGGTGTAGGGATGGGTGGGGCAGCTAAGTAAGACCTTTGAAAGATGAAGACTCACTAGTTTGTGGCTGGATGATGTTTTCTGTGAGTGTATGTGCAAGGACTATCGTGAGCAGCACATTGATTGCACTGATGTCTTCCGTCACACTTGGCCTTTTTCATTCGACATCGATCACAGGCGCGTGGGATACGCTGGTGTTTCCTTCTAGTGGCTAAGGTGTTTGATTGGGATACGCCAGACATTTCCGACTTTGCCGCGTTGCTTGAGTGAGGAGCCATCAATGCGACATGCAGTGATCAATCATGGAGACTCCGATATGCCAATAGCTTTAATAAAGGGGTCTCCCTCCACGTTGTACCACCGGCAGTCCTTCAGAGCGATACATTCATGTACGCTGAAACGATGTGGTTAATATCTTAGACACATATACTGCTGGCAGGTGCAGCAGTGGCTCGAGTGTGCTGTACATCAGAGCCACCCTTTCGGCGAGCTTAATCTTGCCCCTGGGTAGATCAGGGCAAATGGCGGGGGGGTTCAGGTTTGATGTTACGAGGTCATTTGAACGCGGAAATAAATAAGATACAAATATCATGAGAATCCGGATAGAGAGTGACGACCTTGATTAACTGAAAAGGGAACATAGTGGGGGCCCAAGTCATGACGAGGAGCTGAAGCCAGGGTCAGGTAAAGAATGATGTAAGGATTCGTTATTGGCTGGCAAGACAAACTTTTCCATCATTTACCCGTAGTGGAAAGCAGGAGGACAAGGACCCTCGAGATTGAGCTGCAGTCGATGGGACTGCTATTTGTGCGTGAGATAGTTGCCAGTAATCTGTGTCATGATGTCTCTCGGGCTGCAGGTAGTTATTGCTTGAGCTTAGTAGACCGACAGCCATTTAGACTAGGTAGCATTTATAGTGGGTGTCTGAGTAGCAGGAAAAGCTGCTGCAATGTTCTTTGTACGCACCAAGAAGAGCAGCAAGAAGTAGTGCAGTGCTTCAGTTGTAGAGTCGAGGAGGCGTAGTGTTTGCTACACATGAAGGTTGTGGTGTTCGATACTGTTTGGGCCGCTGCAGTGTGATGATGTGGATGAGAGCAGTTGGCGGTTGGCTGTGCTTCCTGCTATCTCTCAGTTTCTGCAAGTCCACGAACCAAGGACGAGTACGCAGTATGCATACTACTAGTAGTAGTCGAGTGGTGAGGGTCTGGGCGCGGGTCCGTATTGTTGCGCCCTTCTCCTATCGTGGCTGTTGTGAAAAGCCAATCTTGGATTTCGACAAGAGACTGCTATACTAATTTGCCCCAAACCAAGTCCCCGAGGGCCAGTGGGTCACATACGTAGTATGCTGCTGTCAGTTGTCTGAGCCACACTAGTTGAAGGAGCACGAAGCTCCAAGTCAAGCTATAATGTAACCATTGTTAGCTCTGTACACTACTGAGATAGGCGGGATGCAGGGGCAGGGATGGGGCGTCTGGGCTCTCCTACGGGCTGGGAGGATGGCCTGTCATGCTTGCAGCCCCAATCGTTAAGCTTCCACTCGTGATGTCACCCCACAAAAATAAAAAAAGGGAGAAAAGAAAAAGTGGGATATGGTGACGTTTTTTGTGAGCGAATTTTACTCCGTACTACCGTTGTACAATATCCAATGCTTGATGCCGTGCCTATTTTGCCTATCTTGCCTAGTGAACCTGTCAAACACAAACTTGTTGACTTTTCCATCCTAAATCTCGATTCATTGTTATTGTCAATTGCCTTTACCGCGCTTAGTTGTTCCTAAACCATACCCGTTCACTCTTTATTTACAACGATACTACTCTTGCTCGGTCGTCGCCTCCAGTTCGAATTCATTTCCGTCCTTCACTTCCCTCCCTTTGATCAACTCCCCCAGGCACCGGGCATCAGGTTCCGTCGCAGGGTTTCCGTGCTAGATGCGCAAACGGCCTCCTTGACTTGTCCTACGACTTCTGGACCCTCGTCACCTAATCTAATCGTGCTCCTCCCTCCGCTTTATATTTCACCCAGGCTCGTTTCCCTGCGTCTTGGCAGCAATAGCCGTTTCATTCTCAGTGGTCGGGCGGATAGTCCTCCCAGCCTATAGATCCCGCCATCATGTCATTCACCAAGTAGCTGGTCAATCTGTTCGCAGCCTGCCGTGAGCCTGCTGCACATCTTATCCCTCTGTCAGATGCAAATCTTTCCATTCCATCTTTTGCGCATCTGAGGTCCCATAAAGTCGGACCTTCTCCCAATGGCTCGCCACTTGTATTTTCTTGCTCCAGACAACCATAACATCTGTCATCACTTCTCCCTTCAGGCCCTTTGACGCTCGCACAACACCATATACTGAATCTTAATGCTATATCTGACAGCTGGTCATCGGCAAACAAAACTCGAGATCTCATTCTTCATCACTAGGTAACGCAACGGATGGATCAAGCTTGGAATATGCCGGCGCGGGCATCCTTCGACACTACGAGCCAAGCCAGTACAAATTCAGGCAAGAGCGACTTAAAACGGGAAGATTGCATTGATCGCCCCCCAAAGACGCTCCGTCAACCACGAGGCCGGCCACCTCTGCACCCTTCGCCAACCACATCACAGAATCCGCAAGATGGCTCCGCACGACAACGGACCTGGAAACGTAATAATGCTCAATGCAGCCCGTCTGAACTACGAGAACAACATCTTCACCGCAACCGGGTGGCTGCCTCCAAATACCGCCAGAAACACAAAAGCTGGAGTGATGCGCTGGCAGAAAGGTGCCAGGCAGAAACAAGGAAGAGAGAATTATTGCAAGACCTCACAAGATCATTGAGAGAAGAAGTACTGTCTCTGAAAGAACAGGCTATCTATCAAAGCGGCTGCGATTGCATGATAATGAGGCTATACCTTGAACGCCAAACCGTCAACCTGTTGGGACTTCCGGACAGAAGCCCGATGTCTCCTCTGGCCACCATCTCTCAAGATTCCATCTCCCCAACATCTTCGTCGTTTGACTCTTCGTCCGTCGACGATAATTTCTTTTGTGATTCTATCTAATGCACACTGCACGGTCGTACTCTTAGCAGAGGCAAGGAAGATTAAGCGAACGAAGGGTGCTCAATTCCAAAACGTTTCTTTGGCGAATTAAAGTTGTACTGGTGACCTCAAGGCCCTTGTTGTAACACCGCACTTTGATCCGCATATCCATCTGCAATATACGTGCAGCCTGCTGGGCAATTGAATCTCTTGTGACTCTTTCTGCAGAACCACTCCAACTGCTCCTCTCCAGAACTCTGATACTTACCTCACACCCGGCCAGGTGAATGCTAGCTATTATAGCGTACGTCAGGATTTAGGTTCCGCGAGGCTCTCTTCCGCCAACGGGACCCACTTGTTCCGCGTGTACTACGTATGGCTTTCACTGTGAACGCTAAGCCGCATGGGGATTATCCATGCTCGCGATTCCACTCCTCTTCGGATTTGTTCATGACGAGGGACGATTCGTTGGGCGCAAACAGCTGCGTTATCGGCTTGGCCTTTTGATTGCTTTTGGATCACCCCAAGGCCATAAATTCGTTGGGAGACATCTTGATTCACAAGTTAGGTTAACAGTCCGGGAGTCATTCGTCAGGTTCAGAGCCTGGACAAAGTCCTTCGATCAAATCATCTGATGGTATCAAACACTTCTTCGTCATTCGTCAACAAAACTTCTGTCAGCCGTAAACTAGTTTACGGTTCCTTGCGGGCCGCGGTTCTTTTGGTCCAACAGCTTCCTACATGGGTCAATAAGGACAACATCCCGCCGCCGCACCTTTTGACCATGACTGCATCCGGGAGACTGTCAGTACGGTCAGATTGACCAGTCATTCCTCTAATTAAGCCGGTCTGACTCGCAAATTAACGCCGACGATTCTTTCAAGCGCAACAAGCGCAAAGCTCTCTTGCACATCCTATGTTACGCTATACGCTGAGTCGAGTCAACTCTAGGGACAATCCAGAAGAATTGATCCATTGAATTGGGTTATCAATTGACAGCGCAAGTGAAGTAACACGGCTTTTGCGTCAGCATCCGACATGACGGTATGAGCAAACTGCTCAATTGCTCCTCCAAGAGTCGAGAGGGCCGTTTCCATGCAGCCAATCACCCTGATAAACTGGCGCGGTTAACAGAAAGCACTGCTGCAAATTCGTATCGAGAAATGCAACTATTCAAGCCATGCCTGCCTGCCTTAAAAATGAATCTCCATTGAATGAGACTCTTCAATCACACTAAGCCAGTGGATTGAAATCCTGGTCCAACTCCCAAATCTGTCCACCACTTAGCAACAACTATCAATACCCAGGCTCCACTGTTCGGTCTGACCCTATCAAAGCACATAAGCGAGCATTGAACAAAACACGGTGCTCCCGCCAGCCCACTCTCTCCATCTTTCACCACTTTTTCCGCTGGCCGCAGCGCAGATTCCGGAGAATAATTTCCACGTGAATAAGGCCGAGCCGAGTGCTGACAGCGCTGATGCTCCTGCTCCCTCTTGCCCGGTTAAGCGAGACTAACCACATCCACGTAAAGCACATGGTTGGGGCCCGCGAACTCGAGTGTGACAACGGAGCCCCACATATGTCATATCGCGAGTGCGCCGTTTGCAGATCTGACACCTGCCATATCTCTTTTGCCGCTTACATTATACCGATCTTCTTCCAATTGCTTTGCTTGCTTCAATCAAATGACCGAGGGTGATGATGAAACCTGCCGTGTTTCGATCAAGTGGAGTTGTACGGGCGAGCTCGCGATATGGA